CCAGGAATATTTTGAATATACACGTCATATATTTTGCACAAAAGATAACATATTTGCTCTGAGTAAACAAAATACTTGCATTAGATCTAAAATTTATGTCTAATGCAAAATCTATAATGCTTATATTCAAAATGATCATCAAATTGTACGAATTCCAGCAATGTAAATTATATTCTGGCCGGATAATTTGTATGAATTTTATGAGCTAAATAAAAAAATTATACTTCATCCGCGTATATGAGTAGATGCACCGCGTAAAGTGGGATTTCCGTAAAGTGGGAATTCCGGTTCTGGCGGGGTACTGCTATGTAAAGTGAAACCGCGTAAAGGGAGGGTTCACTGTACATTATACAACTATAAAATAAGAAATATGAAGAGCATGGGTGTGTATTCTGCATGGGAGGTAATTGTCAATGTGGAAGAGTGAGAAGTTTGTCAAGATGCGTCTGGTGCCAGCTGGTCAGTGGTTAGGCCTACGTATCTCAGTTTAAATATCATCACTGAGGGGAGTTACCTGCCAGAACAGGTGTTTAATATGGATGAGACTGGATTATTTTGAAGAAAATTCCAGATAGAACAAACATTACCTAAGAGGAGAATGGTGAGCCAGGTTTTAAGGCTGTATTAAAGGGTATAGCTGTACTAAATACCCATAATCTTTCATTTTTTTACAATATGTTTGGTATCTACAGGAGTAAAGTTGGACTTACAAACAAGCCTCAGCAATGTAACGCGTTCGTAAGTAGAGGAGCACCTGTACCCTGTACTGTAAGGAGTTACATGGGGTTTGTTTATATCTGCTCAGTCTGTGTCCTCCCGCCACCGCATGTGTTGTTCACTGCTAACTCTCGGTCTACCTCTCGGTGAATTAATTACTGGGCTTAAACATCATGCTGAAAGTCTCTCAGAAGTCTCAGAGAGGAAGGGGTGTGGGGGAGAAATAATAGAAAAATGTTGAAAACAAACACCAAACCCCTGGTTTAAGGTGAGCCATGAATAACGTTTATATGTACATATCATGTGTCTGAGGTATCTCCGTAGGTGTGAGTGTATTAATTGAATTAATCACAATTTAATGAACTAGTTCACTAAATCAAGCTAAAAATAACTGAACAAATTCCTACCGCTAAATCGAGAGTTCATTACCGGGTATATCAGATTCCGTTACATCGAGAGTACAGTAAAATGTACCTGTACCTAAAATGAATTTCAAAGAGGCTGTGATTCTAAAATGCTTTACACAATTTCATCTTAGATATAAAGCTTGTATCTAGACATATCTGTTAGGCTGAGTGTATTTAAAATTCAGATTTTTTTTTTTTTTACGGGGATTAGCCCACCCGGGCACAGGCCACTGACTCACATCGGGGCCTGGGGGGGTGAAAATGTAATAATAATACAGTAGAACCCCGATTTACGTGGTCAATTGAACCCACAGGGTACTGCGGAAAGTGAAAACCTCGTAAAGTGAACAACAGAACATATGGGATTAATTCCAATAGAGACTGGCCCGTCCCCCAAACTCCACTTTTTCCGACACAATACCTATGTTGTAGTAAAAATAACATCTAAATTTTATGATGGTATGCTTACACAATTAATATTTAAGAGAAATACAGTCGCCAGGTTAATGTCCATTCAAATAATGGACTCAAATCCCCTCCCCCCCTCTTCCCAGCTCACTAGCTCCTACCTCTGTGAGAAATGTTTGGGTGAAAACACTAGATTTTAACGTTTGGTAATAAATAATACCTCAGACTAAAGTTAGGATAATATAATTGACATTTCTGGATTCCTTGCAGGTCAGGGAATATTTTGAATGTAAACTTCATATATTTTGCACAAAAGATAAAATATTTGCTTTGTGTAAACCAAATTATAACTTTAGATCTAAAATTTGTATGTCTAATGCAAAATCCATGATGTTTATATTCAAAATGATCATCATATTGTAAGAATTCCAGCAATGTAAATTATATTCTGGTCGAGTAGTTTGTATGAATTTTTTGAGCTAAAACAAATATCTTCAGTTAATAAAAAAAAAATTATCCTTCACGACACTATCTGTCAATCAAAGTACCCCACCTTGCCTCCCCCCCCTCCTCACACTCACGCCAGCTGTCGGTCCCAACCCTCCCCCCCACCCCCCACCTTCCCTCCCTACCAGATAAATGTGTGGGTGAAAAAACTAGATTTTAAGGTATAGTAACAAATAATACCTCAGACTAAAGTTAGGATAATATAATTGACATTTCTGGATTCCTTGCAGGTCAGGGAATATTTTGAATGTAAACTTCATATATTTTGCACAAAAGATAAAATATTTGCTTTGTGTAAACCAAATTAAAACTTTAGATCTAAAATTTGTATGTCTAATGCAAAATCCATGATGTTTATATTCAAAATGATCATCATATTGTAAGAATTCCAGCAATGTAAATTATATTCTGGCCGGGTAATTTGTATGAATTTTATGAGCTAAAACATATATCTTCAGTAAATAAACAAAGAAATATTCTTCAAGGACACTATCTGTCAATCAAAATACTCCGCCCTAGCTGGGTTGGTCCCTCCCTCCCTACCAGAGAAGCGATTGGGAGAAAATAGTATATTTACATTTTTAGTAATAAATAATAACTCAGACTAAAGTTAGGATAATATAATTGACATTTCTGGATTCCTTGCAGGTCAGGGAATATTTTGAATGTAAACTTCATATATTCTGCACAAAGGATAAAATATTTGCTTTGTGTAAACCAAATTATTACATTAGATCTAAAATTTGTATGTCTAATGCAAAATCCATGATGTTTATATTCAAAATGATCATCATATTGTAAGAATTCCAGCAATGTAAATTATATTCTGGCCGGGTAATTTGTATGAATTTTATGAGCTAAATAAAAAAAAAAAAAAATTATACTTCACCGCGTATATGAGTAGATGCACCGCGGAAAGTGAAAGTCTGGTTCTGGCAAGGTACGGCGTAAATGAGAAATCGCGGAAAGTGAAACCGTGTAAAGCGGGGTAATACTGTAATAATAATAATAATATTAATATTAATAATATTAATAATAATAATAAAAATAATAATAATAAAAATAATAATAATAATAATAATAATAATAATAATAATAATAATAATAATAATAATAATAATAATAATAATAATAATAATAATAATAATAATAATAATTCATCGCAAATAAAATTTATAATAAAAATAATATAATAAGATAATAATGATAACAATATTAATAATAATAATAATAACACAGTAATAATAATAATAATAATAATAGTAATAATAATAATAAAGAAAAAACATTAAAGTAAATAGTAAGAAACAATATATGTATCTTGTGTTGTCAATAGTAAGAGAAACATTTGCGACCCTACAATTGTGTAAATGAGGCAGAAAGTCAGATCAGCAACCTGGGACTTGGTCACAATTTTTGTGAGGCCAGATGGCAGCAGGGTCTACCATTAGACAAAACATTAAGCTCCCAATATCTTCCCAGGTGGTAGTACCTCCCTGTTTGATAGCTACCTACTGCTTAAAAACTAAGTACCACTGCGCCCCCCCCTCCCTCCTGGCACCCACCAGATGCCACGTGGTGCAAAAAATTCAGTCACTCATTAATTAGAATTGAAAAGTGATGTCACCACAGCCACACCCCCAATTAGAGGGACAGTTCATGTTGAGTCTTAGTCAGACTCAGTCACTATGGAGGCAAAAATCATCCATAAACTCCTCAACTGAAGGAGCTTGATTGCTAGCTACTTGGCATGCCCAGGAGATGGAAAAAGAGCTACTGAGGTCTTTCCCAGCATTATGTGACTTACCCCTGAAGCTTAACATCCCACTACCTACATCTGCTGCTTGTGAGCATCTGTTTAGTTATGCTGGGTTTATTATTTAATTAATTCATTTCACCCCAAGGGGTGAGAAGCCTAGTCATAAGACCATGCAGTCAGACACCAAGAGATTGGTACTCGTGTCCCGCAGGACACACTATGACTTGTGATAAGGAAACAATATTGATATGATTTAAGGACAATGGGAGGTAGCACTCACCAAACCATGGGTCGCGTACAAGAATTAAATCTAAATTACTGTATTACGAATAAGTAGGTGGTGAATAGTGGTTAGTGATTCTCCCTGTGGTAGGAGGTCCCTGACAGTGGGAAAGTCAAGGCAATACACTAGTGATGAAGGGTGTTAGTGTTGGGACAGTAACAGAGTTTACAGGAAGAGAAGTACAGGTCATCCCCCGCCTCAGATACTTGCCAGATAGGTCTGTATCTTAACCTAATGCAAGCAGAGACAACATTATGTCTGCGGACCATAAGTCCACGTCAGTGATATTTAAATGGATAAGGAAGAAAGTGATCATAGTGTTGGATGGATATTCTCTCAGCCTGTTCACTATCCCTGCAATGGATTGTAGGGAGAAGAGTGGCCTAAAAGATCCTGATTGGACAGCCATATTTTTGAGAATCACTTATTGATTAATCTTAATAGAAACATTTGCAAATAAACATGTGTAATGCAATGTGTCTTTTACTTTTATCTTTAGTTAACTATTCATTTTATAATTTACTGAGGATTTATTTTAACACTGGAGACGAAAAAATTTTTTTTTTACTTTTTTACTTCTACTTAAGTACATTGACATTTGGACACTTTTACTTCTACAGTACTTGAGTAACATTTTTCCAATGTAATTTTTTAAAACTCTGTGTATTGTATACTATTACCTTCTGCATTTTCATGAACACTATACATATTACCAGCTTTCTAGTTTGCTCTAACTGACAATGCTTTCATGGAAAAATTTCAAAACCTGACTTTATTTATGAGTTTCTTCCCTATGCCACTATTACACATTAATTACCTTTTGACTTTATAAATACTGCACTTATGGAGGTAAAAAAATTTTTTTTATGTTAGATTACATAAGGCAGCAGGAAATACTGACATGAAATGGGTCACTTACCAGGAGCACTAAATGGGGCAGCACCAAATGGGTCGTCTTCAGTTGACATCACCAAGCTCTCTCGACTTTTGACATTTGATATACCTGATGAAAAGAAAATTTTCAATGTCACAAAATCCCAGGCAAAGACTGATTTATAATACAGTACATGTTGTATGACAGACCTAAATATAGTCTGTTCACAATGCAAATTTGAAAATAGCAACATCCACATTCACCTGTGTGACTTAAGACTGGTCACACTGAGCCATGATACCTAAGGAAACCTATTGCATTGAATCCATTTGGCCATCAGTTGTCAATTTGGCAGATGTTTGATGAAGTAAGGCACCTATCATAAAATCCAAGGTGCAGAACAAGGAGGTAGACCACACTTACTCATCATATTGTGGAGTGTGTCATTGTAAAGTACAGTAAGTCGTCGTACAACGTCGGCCCGCTTAACGTTGTTTCGGTACTTCGTTGCCAATCTTTAGATACCAAAAATTCATTTAATGTCATGATGACTCAGTACAACATCATTTTGCGTCATCACGGACTACTTTTACTTTAGCATTAGCCTTGCTACGAAAATGGAGGTTTTAAGCCGGGAGGAGGAGCCACCTGCTGGGTCTCAGTGACTTGCAACCCTCCTCCTCCTCAGCTTCACTACACACCACACACTTGCCTCACCACCTCCATCCCTCAGTGAGTGCAATACAAAATGATCAACTTGGTAACATTCTTAATCTTTGTTTTACCTCTAACTCCTCACACTATTCAATATTCATACTCAATTTCTGCCCCCTTAGGATCTTCTGATCACAATCTTATTTCTATCAAATCAAACTGGGCATGACCACCTCCTCCACCCCCCTCTAAACGTCAACTATGGCACTATCAGAGGGCAAAATGGCAATCCTTGCGAGAATTCTTCTCCAACTTTCCTTGGGATGAATGTTGCTTTTCCACTCGGGATGCCTCGGTATGAGTTCATTTATCCCATCTTATACCAAAACTTTCACTTTACAATCATGGTTTGATCGCTCCTGCTCTCTTGCATGCAGGGAGAGAGATAGGGCATATCAAGCTATGAAATTATCTCCTCCTATTACCAACTCCTCTTTCATTACTTCTAGGAATCGTCGTAAGGCTATTCTTCGTAGGGTCAAGGGAAATTGTATAAAAAGAAAGACCGCTGTCCTGACTAGTTCTTCCTCTAGAAAATCCTTCTGGTCCTTAACCAAAAACATCTGTAATAATTTCTGCACTCCCTCTTTACCTCCTCTCTTCCGACCTGGTAACTCTATAGCCAGCTCTCCCCCTGACAAAGTCAATCTCTTTGGCACCTTATTCTCCTCTAACTCCACCTTAGACGATTCCAACTCTATCCCTCGTACCCCTGCTCCTCCTACTGAACCAATGCACTTCAGTATAATCTCCACTCGTAGGGTTGCTGGTGTGTTATCCAGGTTGGATGTGAGTAAGGTACATGGACCGGACGGAATACCCCCTCGTGTTCTGAAGCTCTGGCCCCTGTGCTTGCTCGCCTCTTTTGCCTCTGCCTCAAAACCCAAACTTTTCCTTCTTCTTGGAAGCATGCCTTGGTTCAGCCCATCCCGAAGAAGAGTGAAAATTCTAATCCCTTTTAACTATCTCCCCTTTGCCCTAACTTCATCCCTCTCTAAGATTTTTTAAACTATCTTGAACTCCCATTTTCTCCGTCACCTTGAACGCCATTCTCTTTTGTCAGATCACCAGTATGGCTTTCGCCAAGCGAGATCTACTGGTGATTGCTCTCTTACTGCACCTATCTATGGTAATCCTCTCTTAGGGATTATGGGGAAACTTTCGTCGTGGCCCTCGACATCTCCAAAGCATATGACAGGGTATGGCACAAGTCTTTCCTGTCTAAACTTCCCTCTTATGGTTTCTCTCCCCTACTTTGTTTTCTGATCTCTAGCTTCCCTGAGAACCGATCCATGGCAGTTGTTGTCGAGGGATCAATCTCTCGGTCTTTCTATACCAGTAGTGGTGTCCCACAGGGTTCTATTCTTTCACCTACTCTCTTCCTTCTTTTTATCAATGATTTACTTCACACTACAACTAATTCTATCCATTCTTACGCTGATGATTCTACTCTTCACTCTTCTTCACATTTTCCCCCTTCCTCCTAACTCTGAAACTAGATCTGTTTCTAGAGCTGATATCATTATATCTATCAATGCGGATCTGTGCAGCATCTCTGAATGGGGAGGTAGAAACTTGGTTAAATTCAATAGTAATAAAACTCAGCATTTACCAATTACACTTTCGATATTAGATGATCTCCCACCAATCACATTTCAGGATGCAATCATTCTACCAAATTCTAAAATAGATATGCTAGGCCTCACCATTTCCTCTAATATGTGGAAACCATACATCGTCAACATTACTAAAGCTGCCTCCCGAAAGTTGGGAATGCTGTACAGATGCCATAGCTACTTCATTCCTGAGCAGTTGCTTCAAGTACAGGTTGTACCTCTCTAGTCCGGCATTCTGTGGTCCGGAAACTCCCGTGGTCCGGAACGATTTTAGTTTGTCCAATAGGTAGATAGGCAGCTTTTTTTTTTTTTTACTTCCGTATATCTCGGCCTATAAGGCGTCGGGGTGCATAAGACGGCCCCCCAAATTTCCATTTAAAAAGTAGCTTTTGAGCTCTATTCGCTGTATAAGACCAGTACCCCAAATGTGACACTTACCCACTGACTCAATAGTCCTTACCAACCATCCTTGGTTTTTTAAAATAAGGCCAATTCACTTCAAGTAATGTCATCAAATGTTACCCGCCGGTGTAGTGTAAACACTAGTGACGTCACTGAAGCGTCTGCTATTTACCGGTAACTGGAACTAATGTCTGTGTCGAGTAAAATTTTTCCATTTACTTGATATATATATATATATATATATATATATATACAGTGACCCTCTGTTAACGAACTCAATCCGTTCCAGAAGGTCGTTCGTTAACCGAAAAGTTCGTTAACCGAAACCATTGTTTCAATGGGTTTTTGGGTATTGGTTCCAGCTCACCGAAAATTTCCTAAATTCAACAAAAATGGTAGAAAAGTTCACTTACTTTGAGGTGTGTATGTAGAAGGCTCCTGGGATGATGATGATGGGATTTAGAATGGGGGTGGAGGAGAAGGAAGAAGAGAAGGCATTGGGGTGGAAGAGAAGTCACCCCATGGCGCCATTTCACCCATAAAATTTTAGCTCTCTTGGTGTAATTCAAGATTATTTTCTTTAAATCAACACTGCACTGCATTATATATTGTCAATATGTAAAATATATTTCAAAATTACCAATAATTTGCTTGGAAACACAGAAAAAAAGCATTTAGTTGAAGAGAGTCTCAAGCAAGATGTTACCTCCAGTGAAAACAGAGAGAGACTAACTCCTGTTTGCTGTGTTAAGAGGCTGGATGCCGAGCATTAAACTAGTCACTTTACCTTCAATTATGTTCAATAATTGTTAAAATGACTAAAAAATTGAATATTAAACTTTTAAAATTATTGAATAGTATAAACTTCTTGATATTTACTAAAATAGTAAGGAATTTAAGCCCTAGAACCGATTAATGTATTGGCGGACTGATACTAAAGCTGGTTGCCCGGTCAGTGCAAGCGAAAACATGTTGAGGTCGGTTCGTAAGAACTTCGTTAACCGAATTTTATTTCGTTAACCGAATTGAAGATCCTTATGGAAGGCAGTTCGTTAATCGAAATTACGTTAACCGAGGTGTTCGTTAAACGAGGGGTCACTGTATATATACAGTATATATATATATATATATATATATATATATATATATATATATATATATATATATATATATATATATATATATATATATATATATATATATATATATATATATATATATATACATACATACATACATACATACATACATACATACATACTATATCCTTGACCACCGAAGGGTCAAGACGTACCTGGCGCTCCTCTCGGAGCAGCCAGGTCAACTGTTAAGTTGGCCCATACCAACCCCCTCCCCTGAACCACTTCTCCCCACCGGAGTATCAACAGGTTCTCGCCAGAAGTTACAATTTCATTTGGGAAAGGAATGGAACCAGTGTTAAACAGAGGTGAACATTGGTGAACAGTGCTTGAGTCAGTGAGAACAACTCAACAGTAAAAGTCGTATTCAAGTTAACCTTCACACAGTGAGGTCCCAGGTACCCAGTGATAACGGCCCGTGAGACCCAACAACCGGCGATGTGTTAATCCGTCTACGATAGGAAGGCCTGGGGCCACACCTCACTCATATAACACCATCTGTGAGGGAATTACTACACCACGTCAAGTCCCTCATAACACCATCTGTGAGGGAATTACTACACCACGTGATGCCCCTCATAACACCATCTGTGAGGGAGTTACTACACCACGTCAAGTCCCTCATAACACCATCTGTGAGGGAATTACTACACCACGTGAGGTCCCTCATAACACCATCTGTGAGGGAATTACTACACCACGTGATGCCCCTCATAACACCATCTGTGAGGGAATTACTACACCACGTCAGGTCCCTCATAACACCATCTGTGAGGGAATTCCTACACCATGTCAGGCCCCTCATAACACCATCTGTGAGAGAATTACTACACCACGTCAGGTCCCTCATAACACCATCTGTGAGGGAGTTACTACACCACGTGAGGCCCCTCGTAACACCATCTATGAGGAAACTACTACACCACGTGAGGCCCCTCATAACACCATCTGTGAGGGAATTACTACAGGTGAGGCCCCTCATAACACCATCTGTGAGGGAATTACTACACCTCATCAGGTCCCTCCTAACACCATCTGGGAGAGAGTTACTACACTACGTGTTTGCTGTTCAACACCTACATTAATCTGATTGTTCACTGTATGTTCCTTTACCTTTCTCTAATGAAGGCTTTTGTTAAACCACCAATGTATGTAATAAGTCATTTATGTCCAATATATATTTTCAGCCTTCGGGCTGCAGAACTTTTTCAATAAACCGTTAATTATTATTATTACATATATATATATATATATATAT